CGATGGCCAGGACCGAGGGATGCGGGCTTCGCCAAGCCAGGAAGCAGCGGTGGGGGCCCCTCGGCAGGTTGGGCCAATGGGGGAGGTGCCTCTGGATACGACCGAAGAAGAGGGTGGCGCCCAGGAGTCACTTATGGCAATGTCCACGGAGAGAAGAGGCTCACGTTTGCATGAGCTGGCAGCAGCCATGRGGATAGGTACACCGCAGGAGAGGCCTAAGAGGCTTGATACCCCAGGCTACACCCCAGGGTTGGGAGAGTTGAGGGCGGAGTTGGGCTCGTGGGCCACAGAGACGGACTCAGGAGGACTTGACTCAGGGCGACAACAGCAGCAGGACGTCGTGAGTGAGCCGGCCGCCGTGGCGGGCTTTTAGCCGTCAGGATCATGTGGGGATGTGGAGGCGACGGAGAGGCCTCACGAGGAGAGACCCCAAGAGTTGGGCACGCTAGGCCACGAGTCAGTGGGCACTGCCGTGCAAGGGGGTAAGGACGCTGAGGCTATGGAGTCCGAACCTCGGGGCCATATGGGGGTACCATTATGCCACGAGGTGACCACCGAGACCATCGGGACGCTGTCAGCATCGAGCTCCCGGGGGAGAAAGAAGAAAACTGCCAGGTGGCACAATACCTCCTGCTTTTGGTGCAAGGAGGAAGGGCATAGAGCCGTGGACTCCCCAGAGCTCCTCGAGGATAAGGCCGAGGGGCGGGTTACAGAGGTCGACGACAAGTTCTATGACTGACAGGGTAGGATAGTGGAGCGAGCTCCAGATGGGGGCAGGGCTCAGTTATACAGGCAGAACCAGGAGGAGTTGCGTAAGTAGGGACTGGTCTGTCTATCTGTTAGTAGGGTCAGCGTATTTGGCACACAGAGGGCGGGTTGGAGGTGTATATATGTTTAGTTCGCCGAGGGGGTCCTAGATCTGTGCATACTTTAGAGATGGTAGAATGAGTCTCTGCCTGCTAATATATACATAGTTGATTATGTTTTCCTTGAGCTTTCTTTCACAGGCTACGGCTTAGGGCGTGAGGGTCGGCCGTAGGACACATGGGACTATTCAGTCCATTCTTGGTTTCGCGATGCAAAGACTGTTTGAGTTTTGAGAAGGACTTAGATATGAGTTTTCCTTAGTTGGGTGAGACAGGGGGGTTAGGCGCCCATTAGATTTTAGGTAGATGTTGTGTCCCGAGCGTGTTCCGCGAGTGTACAGTGGGGCCGGGAGCCATGCTCAGATGGACAAAGTTTGAGTTGAGTGTTTGTGTTTGAGTCTTGAGGGAGGCATTCTACTCCCTGAGTGTATCATGAGTTGAGATTCTATGGGACTTGTCTTGTGACGACCACTATCASTSTCACATGTGTGGCTTTATCCTGATGTATAATTGGCTTTGCATGAGAGGTGTACAGGATGCATCTCATGGACATGATTGTGTAAACTRTARAGYTGTCTACCCTCCGGTATACTCGTGCRGTCTGCTTGCAAGCRGACGAGAGGGCARAGTATAAGGAGGRGRAGTGCAGCCTGTTTGTGAAAAATTGTGAGAATCCTACGGGATTGATGAATTCAGAAATTTGCATGCTTGGTCATACTAAACACCGTTGCCTAAGTTGTACAAGGACCCAGAAGATGGTCCCTCGGGTTGAGTTGTTTGGTGATTAAGACCCCCTCCATGGTTCTGGAAGGTGGGAGTTGTGTTATTGTTGGGGCCTCTTCATGGTTTTGGAAGAGGCTGCGCGRAAATTCATCCCGAACAAAGAGGGGGAGGGGTGAATAYGGGATCTTTTGTGAGAGGCACCCTTTACTAAGTAAGGGTGGGTAAAAATCGACTGGTACGGAAAGCATTGTTTGTGTTGATAAAGCCTGACGAGAGGSAACCATATTTGCTTCAAATGTTTGAAAAGGGCGAGAAATGCCTCAGGATGRRCGACTGCWGACTCTGATCAAGTCAGGAGCCGCGGCCTTGTGGATYTGGCATGGAGACTGTTTGTGATTGAGCGAAGGATGTCGTGCCTATTAYWGGAGGGCCGGTAAATGCCTTCAAACCCCCTGCGTAGTCCCGCARCGGCSTGTGAGTTGTTTGTGATTCCCCGCCTGGCCACCTATGCTAATTCTGAGACATATTTAAAGGAATACCAAGCTAACGGTAAAGCTTAGTACCACCTGGTCGCAACTCCTAGTGGATGGCTGCTAGCCGRCACAACSTGGCTGTGGGCCCGCAAGGTAAGARTTTAAGGGGAGTTGCCCGCCCYAGGGAAATTACTTCGCGGGATAAGAGTCGAGTCCTTTGGAGCCCCTGATTGATTGATTATCARGGACATACCTGTCGTTGTATAACCAACGGGAGGATACCGCCGCTAAGGTAACAACGTGGTGGGCCGTAGACCTGGCCCGATCAGCCASGCTACGGTGGGCCYAGATGGGGACCTGGCATTTYTGTACTAGACTGCAGAAAACGCCGAGAGAGGCTACAAGCTTATACGTGTGTATTTTGTTTGACTGTGAGGAATTTGCTGGAAGAAGGCAAAGAATGCYTTCACAGGTCCCATTCGAAGCCCGCRTCCCTAGTTATGGCTYTGCTTACRAGAAAGAGACTAACYGGGACACCCAACKAGWRGCCGACGGTTGTYTAGGACGAAAGGGGAAGAGGATGGTTTGAGGGCCYTTGGAACTTATGCTGTAGTATTGATGCGTAATACACCGACGTCCTGGCGTSAGGACAATGGSGACCCAGGTTGAAACCCTGGCAGCATATAGTTGTGTTGGYATKGTTTGATGGAGGCCTCAACCCYGAGTCTRTCGGCTAATYGGATTGGTTYTAATCTCGTCAGCATTTGGAATGTGAAGAAATCTATAGCTTTTGRTTTGGCGACGCGACRRGGACGTCGCTTAATATGGTCCGGTAAGYTGTCGGCGCGAAYWCCCTTACAAGGGTATCCGCCCTAGGTTTTGCAAGTGACAGAAAGGCTTGGTSAACCTGGATTTTGAGTGCCCGTGCGGRAAAGTGCGAGGGTCGTCYGCRCGCGGGCAAAGGYCTGTSTTGTCCCGGTAGGGGGTATGTGGRCGCGCAATTTTAAGGCGMACGTGTGATTTTTCTGATTGAGTGGGYGGCCGGGGTAGCCGACCGACTCGGACCRGGTGACGGGCTTGGTTAAGGGGGTGRAAGCTCGCTTTGGTTGGCACGGGCGACCRGKGGTGGCACGCAGGCCGGCGCCCGTGATGGCCATGCCGCAGGATGGTGGGCCGGCGCGGGCACTTAGGGGCCGTAGGTACAAATGTGGGTTGAAGGAGTGGCCGGGGCGGTACCCTGGCCCGAAGCGCCATGCAATGCCGCTTTATGTGGGAGGCCGCGCTGGTGCATTCCAGGCTTGGGCTTAGCCCCATTGGTTACRRTGTTGGAYTGTTGCTACGRAGGTACGGGGATCGAGGCTRGCGGACGACGACGTGGGAGTACCAGAGCAGCGAGAAAAAGAGGGGTCGAGGGTCYCGCCGGACTATCCCCCTTTTTTTATTTTGTCGGAAGAATCCGCTTGCGGGCCCGCGCCGCGGGGCTAARGGAACTTTGGCAGAGGCCGAGGCCGGCCCTTCCTTTTCGTCACTGTGGGGCCATTTTTGCTCTTATGGTCATTTCGGCACCRARACTTAAAATYRGTCGTAAGCCTGAGGGCCTGCCACGACCGGTATATTCGTGAACTGTTGGAGCAAAGGTCGTGATGATGGCGCTCGAAGGGCAAAACCGAATACCTTTCTTGAGGCCTGCCTTGGGGTTGGTCAGTCAGGTAGAGGCGCCCCAAGSCTGGTGTGTGGTTTTGCCCCGGGATAATTATCGCGGYCAGGGTAATGCGGAAAAGCCCGGGGCCGCCTGTACCCTGTGGCTGACTGGAGGAAGAAACGAAGGGGGGGGCTTGCGTAGGCCATTGTGTGGGTGCGAGTTCTGGGAGTGAACCCGGATGGGGGTCGTRACCTGGGCCACKCCCGACAGGTACRGAGCARAGGAATCCCTTTGGAGGGGAAGGAGATTTGAGGCACGAGGAGGATTCGCACAGCCCCACAGGGAGGTGGTATCBCGGAGTGAACCCAGACGGGGACCGGGCTAAGGGCGTGCAAAAARAAAACGAGAGGGGGATCGCWGTATTAGAACTAAATCTTTGTGGCTTCCTCCCTCTTGCTTCCGAGGCCGGCCAACTTGYTGACGMGGCCGTTGGGTGGGGGGGTTGGCTGGCCGCTGTATAAGTCTGGAGTGGACCCGGACGCAAATCGCACYGGGTAYAGACAAAAAGGGGGGATTCGGGCCGATACAGAAAAGATTAGCATGGCCCYTGCACAAAGATGATACRCATAGATCCCGAAAAGGAGGCCGGGTTCACGTGCCGAGGTWGGGCGAGGCTGCAGCCGCGCGGGCAGGCGTTGCYAYGGTCGAAGCCCCACGGGACATTCGTGAAAACTGGAACGATACGGAGAAGATTAGCGGGGCCTTGCATAAGGACGACATACGTGAACTGGGAGAGAGGGGGACGCGTCTGCCCGAATCTGGTTTCAAGAAGGAGCCAGGTCCGTCCGCCACAATGTTGAGGCAGGGTGATACCGGGAATCGCCYGAACTYGGAGAGGGCGAGTCCGTCGGGGCATCTRCGAAAGCTGAASTGATACMGAAARGGGGGAAGGCTTTGTGCGGCCCCTGCACTAGACCGCGGAGTATAAGATGAAGAGGAGTCGTCGTCGTCGGGTTGTTTTGACTCCGCTAGGACCGAGGGCTGTGGGCCACNTGCGGCCCCTGCACTAGACCGCGGAGTATAAGATGAAGAGGAGTCGTCGTCGTCGGGTTGTTTTGACTCCGCTAGGACCGAGGGCTGTGGGCCACGCAGCCGAAGCGCGCCAATTTTAGGGACGTCAACACGGCGGGGTGACGAACGAGGATTTGGCGAGTGAATCCGGACGTGATTTGGGGCCAGGTGCGGGTAGGTGAAGAAGCAGGAGCTGGGGAAAGCCGTACCTTGCTCAACTCCCCGTGGAATCGGGCGGAAGACGATGGTAGGTAGAGGTTTTCGACCAAGACGAACACAACGGTGGGGTTATTTTCCGCGTTGGGGTGGTGTGTAGCGAGGTGGAGGAGGAATGGTGTGCACCGAGACTATGGCGTCTAAAAGACCGTTGCAGGGTGTTGTGCGGCCGCGATTGGGATGAGAAGCGGTGATTGAGCCTGGGAGAGGGGGCCAGTGTTGTAGTTTGGGAGGTCGGCAGGGAGTGGGAGTTGACGGCTTGACTGTGGAGTCAATCGAGCTGCTACGCCTTGGCTGCCATTGTGGGGCCGTAAGGCGCATTAACATTTGAAGACCCTCCTGTGAGTCTGAGAGCAACTTTCCATCTGAGAGTCTAAAACCCTCTACTTCTGTCCATCTTCCTTCAAGTCTGGTCCTTTGACTCTGAGAGGAAGGCGGCAGGCGGACGTGTGGCCCGTAACCCTCGCCAA